TTACTCTAGTTTGGCTTTGAAATTCTGCCTTAAAAGACGAGGAAGCAGCAAGCTGGTTTATTAGTGTTTGCCTGCACAACTAAATTGTCAAACATTTACTCGGCTGACCTCCTGCATAAGCTGAATGCATCAGGCACACACCCAGGAAACCAAACCAAGATTTGTACACTGTATGTCCAATCCCTCATGAGAGATTTCTATTCTTGTTAGTAGTAAAAATAATTTCTTCTTGTGCCATGTCCGTTATCGGACGTTGGTGATCATGTTGGCGATCCTGTTTTTATCAGCAGCCACACGAAAAAATGCTGCTGAGTTTTGTCCAAACCAGTCCCTTAAATTTTGAAGCCATAATGTTCTTCTTCTGCCTGGACCTCGTAATTATATCCATATTTACTATATGTATTTTGTGGGTGCCTCCTACTCCAGCCAGATCTTCATGGCTTCACCAAATCATGTAAATTCACGATGGTGATGTTCTTGACCCAAGCTTAAAACAGAATTAGAGAATAAGAATTGGAAGGGACCTTGGAGGTCACCTAGTCCAACCCCCTGCTCAAGCAGGAGACCCTATACCATTCCAGACAAATGGCTGTGCAGTCTCTTCTTAAAAACCTCCAGTGTTGGAGCACCCACAACATCTCGAGGCAAGCTGTTCCGCTGATTAATTGTTCTCACTATCAGGAAATTTCTCTTTAGTTCTAGGTTGCTTCTCTCCTTGATAAGTTCTCATCTTGTCCTGTCCTCAAGTGTTTTGGAGAATAGATCTATTCTCCAAAAACAACACAGACTAATTCAAGTCTATTGATTTAACTGACATTTTATTGGCTGCTCTGGTCTTTTTTTAACCTTACAAGTAGAATAAATTAATGCTCAGGTTTATACAGAGTAAGTTTGTTTATATGTTTATATTGTTAATGGTCTTCTCTTGACCTGAAGACCTGTTTGAAGGTTAGAATTGTCAGTTGGAAAGTCCGTCTCGGATGGAGTCGCTCTGATGAAAAAAGGGGCGATTCTTCTAAATTTGATATCATGCCTTCCATTTATGCTTCTGTTGCATTAAAATTTATTACCAATTGGCAGTCCTGTTATTGGCTATATCACAGTCTATCATCTTACCTTTATCCTTGTGTGTTGGAATGACTTTAATTACTTGCTGGAAGTGAACAAAGATTTATTTTTATTTATTTGTATTTGTTTACAAATAACTCAAGGGGGTGAACATATCCAGCAGACACCTTCCTCCTCCCAATTTTCTCCACCGCAACAACAACAACTTTGTGAAGCGTGTTGGGGCGAGAGAGAGGGACTGGGAGAGAGTGCCCCAATGTAACACAAACTATTGTGGCACCAGCCACTAACGGTGGAAACCAACGTTTTGCAAGGGGTTTTGTTGATCCATGTACGTGCATCACGGACATCCATCTAGGCAAGGTAGTTATCTTTGTAGCCGAGCAATCAACAACAATCAACATCTTCTTTGTGTGTTATTCTTGACGTTTCCTTTTCAAGCTTTTGTTACTCTGTTGAGCCTTTGCTAGCTATATCAATATTGGGATAGGAGTGCTGATCTCAATTTGAAAAAAAAAAACAAGCTTTCTTCCCCCAAGCCATGGGTTTCTTTCTCTCCTTTTTCTTAGGATGTGAGGACTGCCACATGCTAATTTGCTGAGTCTCTAAGGAGAGGTTGTTTTTTTTTTACTAGATAAGGGCATAACTCTATTTGGGTTAATTTCCTCTATTTCCCCCCCCCCCCCGTTTAAAATGTTTGTTTCGTTTGTAGTTATGGCCAAGTTGACTGGCTTTACGTCGGCTGCAATTGTAGGGAATGGTACTATCTTTCTATGTGGTGCTCCTTTCAGGCTATTCAATGCGATATGCGATGGAAAATATATAATATAATCTGAATAACAGAGTTGGAAGGGACTTTGAAGGTAGAACAGAATAGAGCTGGAAGGGACCTTGGAGGTCTTCTAGTCCAGTCCCCTGCTCAAGCAGGAGAACCTATACCATCTCAGACAAGGGACTGTCCAGTCTCTTCTTAAAAACCTCCAGTGATGGAGTGCCCACGATTTCTGGAGGCAAGAAGTTCCACTGGTTAATTGTCCTCACTATCAGGAAGTTTCTCCTTAATTCCAGGTTGCTTCTCTCCTTGATCAGCTTCCATCTGTTATTCTTGTCCTGCCTTCTGTGCTCTGGAGAATAGGAATAGAAATTAGAATAGAATAGAATGGAATAGAATAGAATAGAATAGAATAGAATAGACTAGAATAGAATAGAATAGAATAGACGAAGTATAGGAATAGAATAGAATAGAATAGAATAGAATAGACAAAGTATAGGAAGAGAATAGAATAGAATAGAATAGAATAGAATAGAATAGAATAGAATAGAATAGAATAGAATAGAATAGAATAGAATAGCTGGAACCAGAACCTTGGAGGTTAGGGTTCTATATAAAGTAGCCTTTATAAATTTATCCAACCAACTAGCCGTTCCTAAACCTCTCCTAAGCAGATACAAGTAAAATTCATTTTTTTCTGTCCAGGAAGAAACATATCCTTTCTGTCCAGGGAGAAAAAAAGAACCATTGAAGGCTGTTTAACAATCAGGATTTATAATCCAAAGGGTTCCATACGTTTCTTCTACAAGAAAATAAATCCACAATACAGTTCTGAAAGACAGTATTTATATTCAAAACTGAGACAGGCCAAATTTAGAATAATGGAAGCGAGCGATTTTAAAGAAGGCTCCTACCTACCACCTTCCATCAGCCTGTTGTAGCAGAGAGGGAAGTAGACGGATCCGTAAAGCAGAATGCCTCGATTAAAATCGGTCGCATGTAGTAACCGTGTGGTTAAAAAGGGGTGATTTTTTTTTAAAAAAATCATAAAGCAGTTATTATAAGAAGTGTTCTTTATTTTAAGGGACGGAGCTATTTTAAGAGGAAAACTTAATTGAGGCAAGCGCGCTGAAGCCTACGCAGAAATTTTAACCTCTCTTCACACACTTAGCTTTAATGGAAAGAAAGGGGCGTGCGGGAGTGCGTAGATGTGTGTTGCTCCCTTCTGGGAGGAGGTTTCAAAGTATTTGTAGCAGGACTACCCGATTGTGTAATAGCTTTGTTCCCTACGCCACCCGTCTGGTAAACTCGCAAGATTCGTTTTTCTCGCCATGCACATGTGCACATAACCCGAACTAGACTGTTGTTTCTCTGGGTCATATAATATATGTGGGTATATGCATAATTCTGTACATATTTATTTTTGTCACACTTATGTAGTGTATATCGGAGGTGGTGGTAACCCTTTGAGAGCTGAATGCGACGAAATTTCATTTTAATGTATGCCGATTAGTGTACATTCAAAGTGACAATACAGTTATTCTATTCTATTCTTTGTTATTCTATTCTATTTATTCTATTCTGTTCTAATTTCTATTCTATTATTCTACTATTCTATTCTATTCTCTTTTCGTTTTGAATTTCCAACTGCACTCAAAGCAAACAAATTATCAGGGACACAAATAACTTGAGATTTTATCCTGCATAGCGTTGCCTTCCTGAAGGTGACTCTATATTTCCATTTAATCCCATTAAACCACTGGTTAACCTCCACAGTGCCTTCAGGTCTCACAATGTGAATAAATAACCTATTGCCAGGCTCTTGAAGCTGAGAAAGCTGATAACAGGATTGTCTGCCTCGGTGGGGTTGTCTCTCTCTCTCTATATATATATATATTATTTTGGGGAAATACCTGTCAGGAGGGTTGTGTTTTTTTTTGTTTTTTTTTGAGACCTATTAAATTGTGGAGCGTTCCTCTCTCTTCCGGAGTAAAGGGCTGAAGTCTACTGTTTGTGTGTGGATAGTAACTGCAGCAAGTCCTCGACTTACAACAGTTCATTTAGTGACCGTTCAAAGTCACGACGGCGCTGAAAAAAAGGGCCTCACGACCATTGTTCACACTTACGGCCATTTCGGCCTCCCCAGGGTCATGTGATCAAAATTCGGAGGCTTGGCAACTGGCATGTACTTATGACGGTTGCAGCGTCCCCGGGGTCACGTGATCCCCTTTTGCGACCGTCTGACGAGCAAAGTCAAGGGGGGAAGCACTACTAATTTAACACTTGCAGAGATTCACAACTGGGGCAAGAACAGTCGTAAAACGGGACAAAACTCACTTAAATGTCTCGCTTAACAACATAAACAACATTGTGGTCATATGTGGAGGACTAACTGTATAACGTCGCGCCAGAATGCTGGCTGGTATTAAATCTGAATTCTCTGTGAAAGTCAAACAGGAATGGTGCCTTTTCCAAGTTGTTCCCAATTTTAGCTATCCCCCCCCCATTACCTCCTTGTACTAAAATTATAGTATAACAAAAGAAAGAAAAAGGGGAGAAGATTAACTGTGAGACAGTTGGACTTCAACTAAGACAGCATGAAAGTGAAAACAACATGCATGTTTTCTTGAATATTACAACCGATTGTTTTGGCTGATGTGGTTTAATATGTTTTTTTTTTCTTTTCTGCTCTGCTTGGCTTGTAGGAGCTTGAAGAAATCCGCAAATGTGGAATGAAGAACTTCCGTAATATCCAAGTTGATGAAGCTAACTTATTGACTTGGCAAGGGCTTATCGTTCCCGTGAGTGTGAAAGAAACCTCTTGTAATTGTTCAAATGCACCAGGGCTCTTCATTTTCCTAAATAGCCCGAAACATTTAACGTTGGTCCTTGCAGAACTGGTGGAGGCAAATCCGTGGATTTTCCAGAGTTAAGGGGAAAAAAAAAATATATTTCCATGCAGGTTTCGGAGGAATGCCACCCAAATAATTAAATTAGCTGCCCTCCATCTTTGCATAAAAATAGTATTTACAATTTATAAAGCCCTTAAACCTCTAAATAATTGTGCAGTGGTTAGAAAAATAAAAAGAAACCCGTCCCAAGAGAAGTCTCTGTTATTGTGCAGTTAATAAGACACAAAGGCAAAGAGGAAAAAAAATGGATGCGAACGAAAAACGAAAGTGAGGAAAAGCACACCACAACTCTTACAAACTTCAAAGTGGGCCTTAGAATAGCCAGCCAAAATAGCAACTAAGGAGACTGTGATGTGGTTTTATTTCTAGCACCCTCTGAGAATCCCAGCTTTCAGTGTAATAATGTAGGTATGTGAAACCTACGTACAATTTATTTCAAGAAAATTTAGATTTCATTCCCTAGCACAGAATTTGATTTATATCTGTCCCTCCTATCCCACAGGTTTTGGGCAGGAACAGGAAATGCTCTCTTAAGGTAGTCCTTGACTTACAGCCATTCATTTAGTGGCCATTTAAAGTGACAGCCGCACCGAAAAATGACTTAGGGCCGTTACCGCATCACGTGATCAGAATTTGGACACTCGGCAACTGGCATGTACTTATGACTGTTGCATTGTCCTGGAGTCATGTGATCACCCTTTGTAACCTTTTCACTTAATGACCGTATGAACTCCTTTAATACTTGCAGTAACTCACTTAACAAGAAAAAAGATCGTAAAATGCAGCGCCAGCCACTTAACAAACTGTTTCGTTTACCAACAGAAAATGTGGGCTCAATTGCGGCCGTGCGTTGAGGACTACCAACTTGTAATTCTTGGTTTCAAAAGTGACTTCCTTGATGGCCCCCCGAGAGTCGCTTTTCCAAATGGTAAAGGCCCCGTGGACTTGAGTACTGGCTGCATGGCCGGCTAGCTAATTTCCAGGCCTAAAGACCTGCCCCATATAAATTTAAAGCCCTTATTTATTTCAAGCTTTGTGTCTCTTGGGAGAAGCGACAGCCACAGTTGTCGCGGAGTTCCTTTTTTTTTTTTTTTCTTGCCTCCTTGCAAGCAAGTCACCCGATCAAATTCCAGTGCTGTTAAAACAAAGAAGGAAATTTCAAATAAGTGAGCAAAGTTTCAAGCTGTTACTTGATAGGAAAAAAACAGAACTCTCAGCTCTGGCTCCTTTCACTCCCTAAGAGTTTTTTTTTAATTACTATTATTATTATTTTATTTGATAAAGGCTTTGATTTCTTTCTGATAAAGGCAAGAGTGGTTTTGTCAAAGCATAAATCGAGGCTGGGAGGCTGGAGGAGCAACATAATACGTAGTAGGAGACGCCTAAGACAAAGAAAGATAAAGTGAAACTCCTAATATATGTCACACATCGCAGCACACACCTCCTTGGTGTTGAACCAAGGGACCATCCGTGAGCAACTGAAAGATTTGATCTTTGCCACTCAGGTGGAACTCAAAAGGCACCTGAGGGCAGGGGATATATTAATAATAATAATAATAAAGTTGGAAGGGACCTTGGAGGTCATCTAGTCCAACCCCCTGCTCAGCCAGGAAATCCTATACCATTTCAGACAATCTTGGGTGTCATCTAAGGACCACTTTCAACACACCAAACCCGGACCCTCTTTTAACTCCTAAATAAAGGTAGCCCTTGACTTCCAGGAGTTCATTTAGCGACCGTTCCAAGTTACCACGGCACTGGAAAAAGTGACTTATGACCAGTTTTCACACTTAATGGCTGTCGTAGCATCCCCAGGTCACGTGACCCAAATTCAGACGCTTGGCAACTGACTCGTCTTTGTGACAGTTGCAGCGTCCCGCGGGGGGGTGTCACGTGATCCCCTTTTGCGACTGACAAGCGAAGTCAGTGGGGGATAGCCAGTTCCACTTAACGACAGTTTGACCAGTTTAACAGCTGCAGTGATCCACTTAACAACTGTGGCGAGAAAGGTCATGAAATGGGACAGACTCACTTATAACTGTTTCACTTAGCGACACAACTTCTGGGCTCAAGTTGTCGTAAGTCAAGGGCTGCCTGTCTTCAAAAGTTGTGTCCGTGAGTGAGTAATTTATTCTGAAGGATATATTTCCTGTCTCTCTTTTCCACACAAACATATTTATCTCCATTCCCCCAGGCTTCCCCCCCCAAAAACCCCCAAATCTTGAATGTGTTACACTCCCAGAATGAAGAAGAGAATATTCTCCATTCACACACTAAACATATCTTTGAATAGAGGTACTTTAAAAAAAAATATTGTCCAGTTGTATCTTGCATTCTGTTGTGGGTGGCTTTCATTTCTTTTTAACAAGTCACTGCTGAAAGATTAATAGTCCTTCAACGGTTGTGCCCAGATGCTACTATTACAAGATAATCCTTCCTGCAGCTTTTATCGGTACATTCATAATCGTTCTGTCTTCTGTAAACAATTCTGCAAATCGTATTGAATCCGCAGGGGTGTGAACGCTCCTTTGTGGGAAAAACGTAGCACAGGCAAAGCTTTTATTTTATTTAAAATAGTTGTACAGGCACCCATCTCAAAGCCAGGACTCTGGGCCGCTTACCACCCAAGAACAAAACAATATAGACAACAATAAAAACAAGAGAAACAATATAAAAAAAGCCCAAAGTTAAGACACCCATCTTTTCAGGAGACTGCATCAAACAAACTGGGTGCTGCTGATAAAGATTGCAATATGTGTGTTTTTAAAAAATCAGATTAAAAAAAATAAAATAAAGTGAGTCACATTGCTAAAAATGAGGGGGGAGGAGTAGGGAAGAGAGACTTAAGAAAAGGGCCAAGGAGGATTATTTTGATTTTAGATTTAGATTTAGGTCTAAAAACATATCACTAATAGTAACACAAACCCACCAAAGTGGTTTTTTTTCTGTTTTTCTATTTCCTTCATTCTCAACCTAATCTACGGCACTACAAGAACCCTTTTAAAAGAATCCCTAAAATCTTTATTTTTAAGTGATGGATCTCATACAGGTAATCCTTGACTTACAACCACAACGGAGCCCAAAATGTTTCGTCGCTGAACGAAACATTTGTTAAGTGACTTTTGCCCCATTTTACAACCTTTCTCGCAACGTTTGCGTGAAGTTAGCCACACGGTTGTTGAGCGAATCTGGCTTCCCCATTGACTTTGCTGGTCAAGAAGGTCACAAAAGGGGTCACATGACCCCGGGACATTCCAACCGTCCTAAGTACACGCCAGTTGCCGAGCATCTGAAGTTTGATCACGTGACCATGGGGATGCTTCAAAGGTCGTGTGATAAACGGTCATACATTTTCAGTGATGTTGTGACCTCAAACGGTCACTAAAAGAACGGTTATAAGTCGAGGACTGCCTGCATATCCGACCCCTCTTCCTTCTCTCCTTTCAGCTTTCCTCTGAATTCTTTCTCTTCCTGCCTGGGTCTGCTTTTCATATGTTCTCTGTTGCTCCCCGTAGGACAATCCTCCATACGACAAGGGTGCGTTCAGAATCGAAATCAACTTTCCTGCAGAGTACCCGTTCAAACCTCCCAAGATCACATTTAAAACAAAGATCTATCACCCTAACATTGATGAAAAGGGGCAGGTTTGTCTGCCAGTAATTAGTGCTGAAAACTGGAAACCGGCCACTAAAACTGATCAAGGTAAGAGACCGCCAGCAATTGATTGCCATACTAAATCTCATTTTGGGAAGGGGTGCTCCATCCTGGATCTCCGAGCACAAGCATGCTGGGCCATCTAAATCTTTCATGGGATCCTCTTTAAGGGCGAAGGAGTTCTTGATTTTTCTCGTTCTTCCCTCCCTCTCTTAGTTTAAAATGTGAATTTATCGCAAAGAATTAAAAAAACACGAGAGATTTTCAGGCAGCTACATCTGAAAATGATTTGTCTAATATTCAAGGCTTGTACTACCAATCTTACTCATCCCATCTCTTGAATAAAACCCCAGCTAGGTGGCTGTAAGGCGGTTTAGTACTCTTTCAGCCAATTCTTAAATGGTTTGTTCTAATAGTCCAAAAAATGAGCTTGATTTTCCTCATCCAGCAGTCTTTATTTGCACGTGTACTTGAGTGTGGTCTCAGAGGAGTTTCTCTCTTTGTTTCAGGAAAGGAAAAGCTTTACACACCCATTATTTTGCACACACAGAGCAGTTCATTCATAAATCTGAATATACCGCCAGTACGGTGGCTGACCCGGTTAATCAAATAAACCAGTGATGATTGTCACATGTAATGGCTCCGGATGTAACGTAGCTGTCCCATTTTGCTTTTGGCACGTCCCATCAAACCCAGTCAATTGTGGTTTATTTAGCCAGCCGTGGCCAAAGCTTGGCTTGTAGGCTGCACTCAATCTTTAAGGACAAAGTTGACCCAGAGCCTAAAAAGCAGCAATTAGTGCGAACACTTTCATTTCCGGTTGGCATTCAATTCAGATTTAAACACGATCGCTTACATGATGGGCTTTTCGGTCGTGTGTTCGATTGGAAACTTTCCCAGTTCCTCTTTCATTAAAAAATAGAATTTGGAAAACATGTCTGGAGGACTTAAGTGCTACCATTCCCAAGGATTTGAGTGCCATCTGCTCAGAATCGCCTGGACTGCCAGATGGGTGGCAAATAAATTGGATAATCTAGACAAATCAATGAATCCACAGCCTTGGGATCTTGTCCTTCGCGAATCGGTGGTTCTGCCTCTCTTTCACAGCCACACTGATCTCTCTTTTTTCTCCTTCCTTCCTTCTTTCCCTCTCTTTCTTCTTTCCTTCCTTTTTTCCCCCCCCTTTTTCTTTCGACAGTAATCCAGTCCCTCATAGCACTGGTGAACGACCCCCAACCCGAACACCCCCTTCGGGCTGACTTAGCCGAAGAATACTCTAAGGACCGTAAAAAATTCTGTAAGAATGCTGAAGAGTTTACAAAGAAATATGGTGAAAAGCGACCAGTGGACTAAAAAAAAAACAAAAACACAACACAACAAAAAACAAAACAACAACAACAAAAAACCAACACCTGACCGAGTTGATGTCAGCAATGTGTGATAGAAGAGCTGAAGAATGCATTTCAGACACACCCACAAAAGCAGGACTCTCTATGGAAATTGACAAGTGTCACCTCTCGGTGTTAACTTGTGGCTGTTAACTAACTTTCTACCGTTTCTTAATCAAACGTGGTCTAGGTAATCTGTAAAGAAAGGATTAAAAATTTAAGATGTTCTAGTTCTGCTTTCTTTGTTTAAAATCACTGCTTTAATGTACTTTAAAGAATGCTGTTTCTTCTTTTTTTTTTCTTTCTTTCTCCTCGTCACAATTTATCAGAAAAACAAAAAAAAAAAAGTCTTAGGCTTATAACTTGCCCTTAAAATTCAGAAGGTCGTGGCTGTTATTTCTTATTTTCCTTTGCAATTCTCATTTTTTTCTCCATTTTTTGGGTTGCCCCTTGTCCTTCCCTCCTCCCTCCCTCCCCCCTTCCTCCCTCCCAAGACAAAAGAAAGCAAAACCACACTTACTTAATTTCTTAGCCAAAAAACAAAACAAAAAAACCAGAAAGACATTTGGTGGAAAAAATGAGCTGTTTGTCTTAAACTTTGCACTGTGTATTGTGGACGTGGGTCCAAGTTTCTCTCGACTTCAGTTTTGCCACACGTAGACCAGAATCGACCCCAGATCTTATTGTAAATCTGGCTGAAGTGGTGACAATAATGTTTTATTAAATGGGGAACTCCAAGATTTGTGTGCATGGATGAATTGTACCCCGTGGCTTACGTTCTGTTTAGGGGGAGGAAATTTTCGGCACAAAACATTCTTTAGCAAAGGAATACCGGAGTGTAATTTTCTCCCCCTTCCTTTTTTTTTTAAATTTTACTCTTCACTTTTATTCTTTAGTATCTATGCAGACTACCTAGAATAAAGAAGGACTCCAGTTCATTTGCAAGAATTTCAAATATGGGACCAAGAGGTACCAAAGCAGAATTAATCTCCCAACCAGTCAAACTCATCTCCCTGTCCTGTACGCTTCCAAGCTGAGAAACTTAACTGGAGAAATCCTTGAAAACTTAGTTCTGAAAAACAAAAAAACACCTAGTCACAAAATCTCTTCAACTTAACTAACTCTTTCCCTGTGCAAACGACAAAGCTTATTTTCTCCTAATAATAGATTCTTCGTCCAAAACGAAGCAATTCCCATTAAGCAATAACCCACCCATCGTGAAATGGAGCAGTGGCCTTTCTCCATTAAAAAAAAAAAAAATGACCTGTCCACAGAATTAATATTGATTCAGGGGGCCGTTGATTCAACCCAGCTACCCCCTGCTCTAAATTAAGGGGGTTCTTTTCCCCGGAGATCTGAACTACCCTGTTTAATGTAGCGTTGCGTTTTAGGGTGGGCAAAATGCAACTTGGTTACGTGACACAATGACTCCCCCCCCTCCCAGCTGCTCAGTTTTTAAAATGCCTGGCTTTTAAGTGAGCATTTCAGCCCGTTTCTGTGAAGAAAAAAAAACCCGCAGTGAAGAAAAACAAAAAAAAAGTAGGTATCATTCTGTTTTGCATGTCTTCGTTTTCGTAGCTCGCTCAGCTTTTAATTTTTCAGGAATCTGGAATCCTTGTCCGGTCTTTGCCATCTTTAGGGACGAATGTATGGTTGGAGAGCAGTAGAAATAGCATTTCAGGGTTTTAATTATTTTTGCGTACCCCCTTCCATCTTCTCCACTCCAGCTTTTGATTTTAAACTGTACAAGATTGACAGCCAAGTACCTCTGTTCGAAAAGTAGAAGAAAAAAAAAAAGGCAGTTTTTTTTTTCCTTTTATCAGTTGGGGTATGAAACATCTGTTTTAAGTGTTCTTAGGCACATTCTTTGGTAGGCGATTAAAAGTTTAAAAAAAAAAACAACTTAATGGACACTTTGCATTTCCTTAATTGTGTGTGTAGGCTTGGTGACCAGCACTGTCTTATTACCGAAATCTCCACAACTTTTGTGTCTTCATTTGCAGAAAGTTGGAACTGACTTTGTTTCATTCACGCTCACTCAGATTCAAAAATAAACGAAAAAAATGCCAAATTTTACCTGTCAAACTGAAGTGTATGTAAAATCCTGCATTTGCATGACATGGAAAAAAGAGCGTGTCTTTTTATTTTTATTTTAAGTTGTTCCATGTGCAGCTCTGTACTCTTTTTACTTTGATAGCGGGGGAGGGGGGGTGAGAGTCAATCTTTCTTTTTTAAATTGCAAATATCTCCGGTACATGTCAACAGATGCTCTTGGAGCAGAGAATGCAAAAATTTGGATTAATTTAAGGGGCTGACATTCCGAATCCCCTTCTTACCTTGGTTAATTTGAACCACATGGAATGTAACAATCTACTAACTTTTCCCCTGTAGGGTCAGACTTTTGCATCCAACCCATAAATGTCTGCTGCATTTGTGCAAATAATGCCTTTTTCTCTATTTTCTCCTACAACCATTACTATCTACAGAGTGCCCTTATTATTTTTCCTGGCAACCAAAATGTAATCTCCTGGGCTATATCTGCAGCTAAAATAGGCTTGCTTCTCTTAAAGAACATCTTAAAATATCCTAGCCCGCCCAGCCCCAATTTCTATGAGATTTCCCCATTTCCCTTTTGTTTTCTTGTGGAAAGATCTACCTGTTCATCCAGCCCCTGGCTTCAAAACTCAAGTCGTAGGACTTCCAGTAAGGTCCAAAATGGCATGATCCTCACACACACACAAAAAAACCAGGGAAGTTTTGAAGATGAGGTTGATAGCGGAGGGCCTGTTTTGATGTACCTGAGAGGTGATTTAGAACATAGAACCCTAAGGCTGGAAGGGACCTCGGAGATCTTCCAGTCTAACCCCTACTCAAGGCAGGAGACCTTGTACATCCCGGTCAAAGGTTGTCCAGGTCTTGTTTTTGAAAACCTCCAGTTGTCGTTTCTGCAAGAGATGTGAGCAGATGGGTCTCGCCCTTTGCCCAAACCAATTTTCCAGCTGCTCGGCGATTCTTTGCTTCTGACACTTGGGTTGTTAACCGGTCGTCCTGCTGTCTGTTCCCGATTGTTTGTACGTAGGAAAAAAATTAGCTTTTTTGTTAGATTAGATTTTGAAGCCATAGACTGGTTTAAATGCTTCGGTGGCAAATGACCAAATTTTGACCAAGTGACGGTGGGGATGCTGTCTTAGGTGCGAGGACCAACTGTAACTCCCCTTTTTTAAAGTCCCATTTTAACTTCAGTTGCTAAATGAATAGTTGTAAGCTGAAAATTTTACCTGTACAGTATTTTTGAAATAATGACTTTTTGATGAATGGATTAACTAAAGAACACTTTTGCACTTCTGTGTGCTAAGCTGAATCAATCCTTCCTCTCTTTCTTTTCTTTCCTTCCTCTTTCTTTTTTCCTCTTTCTTTTTCTTCCTTTCCTTTCTCTTTCCTTTCTTTTTCTCTTTTCTTTCTTTCCTTTCTTTTCCTTTCCTTTTTTCTTTTTCTTTCCTTTCTTCTTTTTCTTTCCTCTTTCTTTCTTTTCTTTTCTTTTCTTTTATTTCTTTCTCACTTCCCAAGTTTATCAACTTTCTTGGCATCTATCCTGGCCAATGTTTGTTTGTTTGGTTGGTTTTTTTTATCAACGTAATTTAAGTAGCACTAGTAAAAATGCCCAGCAAATTTTCTCTGCGTTTCTGTTACATAAGAACAAACTAGCCAAAATAGGTTGGTGTATGGTACATAAGATAACTAGAAAGGAGGGGTAGATTTTTCCTTCATCCATCTTAAAACATGGCTAAACGTTGGCACATTCTGCCATCGCTCTTAATGCTCCTTTAAAATATTTTAGTTTCGACTAGCTGCAGGCCAGAGAGGAGTGTCTGGAAGAAACTCAATTTTCCAAACGGTTCCCAACCAAATGCAGAGCTAATTAGTAGGCAGTTATTTACCCATAGAAAAGAGGGTGTGTGTTGTTGTTGTTTAAAAATCTAGTTTAATTCACCATTAGTCCCAGAGTAATACATGAATAAATAATAATTCAGTGTCAACAGAGAACTCAAGAAGCTTGTGGGAATTACAAGAGTCCCAGAATTGATTCGAATGTTTAAACAATCAGCCAAAGGAATGCAATTCTCAAAGTATAAACATTATTCTGGAGACCTATTACAGATAATCCTCAACTTAGGACCTCAACAGTTTAGGACCAGAATTTCCATTGCTTAGCAAGGCGGTTGTTAAGTGAATCGCACCCAGTTTTGTGACTTTTTATGTACTGGATTACTGGCTGCCAGTCACTTTTTTCAGGGCGGCTGTAACTTCGAATCGGTCCCTAATCAGACGGTTGTAAGTTGAGGGTCACCTGTGCAATGTGAAATAAGAAAGAGAAGGTAACGGCAGCTTTTTTATACTTCCTGGATCACAGCTAGGATTAGGACCATCCTGTGGAAGTCCAGGCTAGGTTTCATCTTTCAAAAGAGGGAATTGTTTCTTTCACAGGGGCGGTGAAAGAAACCTTGAGACAGGATCATCTGTGCAAAACGGTTTGCACAAAGCAACTGAGCGTGTAAATGGGTTTATTTTTCAAGCCTGGGAATGCTTACCTAAACAACAGCTTGCTTTTCGAGATTAAACCACCTTCAACCCAAGGCTTAAACAAACTCGGAACGCTCCAAACCCTTTTGCTTCCTTCTAACAAGCATTCATAACATTTTTGATTGTGTCTTACAGGTAGAGATATACTTGATTCAACCTGTTCTATTTGCTATTCAAACGGTTGGCTTTTGGGTTGTTGTTTTTTCCGCTAATCCTTAAAAAAAACAACACCGTGTTACTAAGCAAGAACAACCGAAAATAACATTCGATTCTTCCAGATGCCTTTCTATCTCAGAATACAACGCAGAAAGAGGGACTTTAAGTTGCCCTGGCTGGGTTCTTACATCCTGCCAAGCCTAGGCTTGTTTTAATTGTGATTTGTTGAGCAGGCCCCAAAGCTTGCCTCTGGCATGAAAGCAATTGTCATGTTAAAGAGGACAATCCAGTGATGCACTGATGACGTTACCTAGTTGGGTCACGAAACGTCTGCAAGTAAACCACCAAGCTCAGAGGGCGCCAAGCGCCCCTCATTTCAATCCTGAGTTACTTAAATATTCTCCCCTCTCGGTGTACCCTAAAATGCTGGCATTTCTATCAAGAATAACGCCGTTACTCTCTCCTGCTTCTACAACCATCATCTCTGGAGATGCCGCTCACGAAGACAACCACAGTCCCAAGTTCCCCCTCTGAGATTCTCCAGTTGCAAAACTAAACTAAAATAAAATAAAACGGGAGGAGGAGCAGCAATATCTGCCTGCAGAGAGCACCAAAACTTCCCAAAGATCTTCTGCTCCCACCGGGACCATCCCTGATCCAGCATCTTCACCTAACCCAAGATGCAGTCAAACACGGGGGCGTCCATCCCCGAGGAGGGTCAGATGGCGAGATCTTTGAAGGCGCAGAGCTGAATGTTCCTGCTCCTGTAATGTTCCTGGAGCTCTGGCTTGGTTAAGGTCTCGAGTTCGTGCAGGCGTTCCCATGACTGAGAAAAGTCATCCGGGCCTTCTCCGCAACCTCCAGTCGGCGGGATGCTGGGGTAGCCTGGATGGGTCATGAGTTCGAGCGTCACCGTCCGGAGTCCCTGACCAGGACATAAGAATGAAGATGGCGGAGGAGATGTCAGGTCCTCGTTAGCCAGATGAGCTGCGGTGGCATTATCAATAGCCTCTAGGATGCTCTGGATGGACATGTTTTTCCCCATGGTGCTGAGGCCTATATATATATCTGGCCACCTAGAAGTGGTAGACAAAAAGTGCATTGTTGTACATAGCATGTTTAGGTGTGCGTCATGTATGTGTTTCACTTGGAGAGCGGGCAACTCAATTTCGTTTTTGATGTGGGCCGTTGGGCCCACTGTAAAAAAGACAATAAAGGTTATCTTAAATCTCAGACATACAGATAATCCTCAACTTATAACAGTTTGTTTAGTGACCGTTCAGAGTTGCAACAGCATTGAAAAAAGCGACTTATGGCCATTTTTCACCCTTGGCATCCCCAGGGTCACGTGATCAAAATCCAGACACTTGGCAACCGACTCGCATTTACGACGGTCGCAGTGTCCCCATGGACAAGCAAAGTCCACGGGGAAACTCGATTCATTTAACCACTGTGTTACTAACTGGACAACTTAACAGCTGGGGCAACAAAAGACGTAAAACGGGGCAAAACCCACTGAAGAAATGCCTCGCTTAGCGACAGGAATTTTGGGACCAATTGTGATCATAAGTTGAGGACTACCTGTATAAGGCATCCTTTGCTTAAGACTTCCTTAATAATCAATATATCTCTTACAGAGAGTCCATTTCTTATAACCATTTGCAGTCACAGTGGCACTGATCACACAACCATGGTGATGATGCTGCGTCGGTTGTAAGAGCACAAATTGGTTGTTAAGACCCTTTTCAGTGTCACTGTAACTTCAAGCAGTCGTCCGTGGAGATTCTCAATCCTCCAGGCCAGAGGTCGGCAACCTTGGCTCTTTTATGACTCGTGGACTTCAACTCCCAGAATTCCTGAGCCAGCCACGCTGAGGGGAAAGGGTGAGGTTTCCAAGCTGAGCCATGCTGGCTCAGGAATTCTGGGAGTTGAAGTCCAGGAGTCATGAGGAGGCCATAGTTCCCCCATGCTGGCTCAGGAATTCTGGGAGTTGAAGTCCGCGAGTCACGAGGGGGCCAAGGTTGCCTACCCCTGCTCCAGGCCATGCTTCTCCCAAGGGTGCTTTTCCAAAAGGCAACTGTTTTTTCCCCACCATCCCCTTGAAAATGTTTCTCTCCTCATTCAAGAATCTAGATCAGAACTGAAGAAGCTTCTTGGACGAGAAGCGAAACGTTTTCGAGGAAGAAAACCAAGAAAAGTCCACTTGCCTTTGGGAAAAACACCTTTGGGCGTTCAAACAGTTGCTTAAACGAACGATTGTAAGACGAAAACTATATAGCCGGACTTTTCAAAACTGTCGTTTCAAAATTTACACATTTCCTGGTTGCGAATTAGGTTTTTTCTACTCTTAACTTAGAAAACGACCTGCTTTATAGATGTCCCACCTTATGCCATGCTTTTGAAAGACCTCGATGGTGTTCAACGAATCCTTCTCCACTCCCAAGTAGAAATCCATCAGAGCTGGCGCTATCCAGCCACAGCGTGGAAGATCTGGCTCGATGGGAACTCGTGTATAAGTGATCCCGTAATCTTCTAACACCTCTGCAAATACGTGTCTGATCTCTGGAAGAGTCACCCAAGAGGAAGAGCATCGTAAGAAGATCCAGTTTCAGGGAAATGCAAGCCTCAAAAGTTCTGAGGAGCATCAGGGAGGTGGTAGACCAACCGAAGCAGATCCTACCTACCTGGGAGAACATGGACATGTTGGTGTCCATCCATGTGATGCGGTAAATGGCCGGTCAGTTGACAGAACAACTCAACCTGTGCTATTAATTCCTGCTTCACCTAAGCATAGAAAAGGAGCAGAAGCTGTCAATTAATTGCATGAATATTCTCATTTATAAAAATGGAAATCATTGGATGAAGTCTACAAAACAAATCAGGCACAATTAAAGCTTCTGAGGGACATCTTGGTAAGCACCGGAATCGGGGGTCCTTGTTAGTCTCTTCAGCTTCGTTGTTTTCTTGCAGATGTTTCATGACCCAACTAGGTAGCATTATCAGTGTTGTTAACTTGTTTTGAGTAATGAAACATCTGCAAGAAAATAACCCAGCTCAGAGAGCACCAAGGACCCCACAGTCCTCCTCCTCTTCCTCCTCTTCTCATCCAAGACCAAACTCAACCACTTTTGAGTTGCCTGGCTCAACGTTGGCATCCTTCACGATGCATCTCAACCACCTTTGAAAGAGCAGATGGGAGGTGTGTTTCCTTGGCTTCCCCTCACCTCGGCCATATTTAGAAGTCCTTCGTTTAAACATGTCCGAATTCCCATCTTTCCATGGAAGAAGCCCTCTGGGTTGAGTAGTGTGGACTTTTTCTTCAGTGCTGGGTACACTGGGGTGCCCTCAGAAAGGTTGGCATGGAGTCCTATTGGAATGCAGTGTCTACAGAGAAAGAGAGAGAGAGAAAATAAAACAATGAAAAACCCTCAACTTTGAACACCTGCCAAGGAGAAAAACTTGCAGGATCTGTTGACTTTGAACCCATTCCCAGTTCAAGATGGTGATTCATAAAATTCCTCTTCCATGACATCATCTGTGGGATCAAGCGTCAGTAGCAGGAACTGTAAGTTTCCTTCTGTATTTCCAGGATGTGATTTAAATGTGAGCAATACCTATTGTCTCACTATCAAAAAGGACATGAAAATATGAAGGGCCACCTCTGATAGATCAGATTTCCAGAGTTTGGATATAGACAGGATTACGTAAAGACTAACATAATAGGGTGGACAAGGAGAGACCCCAGTACACATTTCCATTTGCTCATGAACCTTGTTGGATAACATTGGATTTAATTATGGTCTCTCAGCCTAACTACCTCATAGGTGTTGTGATGAGGAGAGAATTAGAGGAGACCCCATATATAAATAGGAATCAGGTGTATTCGGTATATTCACTATAGGTAGATAGATGAGAGAGAGATGATAGATAAATAGATAGATAGATAGATAGATAGATAGATAGATAGATAGATAGATAGATATAGACAGATGAAAGAGATAGAAAAGAGATGGATAAATGATAAAGTACATAGAAGATAGAGAGAAATAGATGATAGACATAGAGATATAGAGAGAAATAGAAGATAGACTTAGAGAAGAGATAGACAGACACAGACGGATGATAGAGAAAGATGGATAGATAGCTGATAGAGTACATAGAAGATAGAGATGATGATAAATAGACAGACTGACAGATGAAAGAGATAAAGAAAAGATGGATAAATGATAGAGTACCTAGAAGATAGAAATAGATGATAGACATGATAGAGAAGAGATATAGAGAGATAGAAATAGATGATAGACAGATGATAGAGAAGAGATATAGAGCGATAGAGATAGAGAATATAGATGGATAGATAGCTGATAGAGTACATAGAAGATATAGATGATAGATGACAGACAGAGAAGAGAGAAATGATAGATGACAGACATAGAGAAGAGATAGATATAGAGAGACATGATAGAGATAGAGAAGAGATATAGATGGATAGTTAGCTGATAGAGTACATAGAAGATAGAGACAGAGAAAGAGAGATAGATGATAGACACACAGAGAGTATGTACGCGTGTCAGTGTGTTACAGGTGGTCGTTAATTTACAATCTTATGCCACTGCACATCTTCTACGCCGATACCTTACAACATGCTAGGGAAAATCTATGTATACGAATACCAGCAAAAGAACGGGCAGCTGTGAATTTCACACTGTTGTGTATATAATGATGAGCTCCCAGAGGAAACTTAAAAGAGTCTGTATGGAAGAAATTAGTAACGAGGGAAGAAGAAAATTCTCAAGCTGATTCAGGAGGAATCTCAAAGGTTTGTGAAGAGTCAACACAACAAAATAAATTCTCTTAGATTGGTTGAGATGCCGGGAATAGAAGCAGACCGGCATAAGTTAGATAATTATCTAATTAAACACTGAAGGTTTTTGTTTTTTTAAAAAAACTGCCATTGGACTCTGTTTCTGCCTCTTCAAAAATATAGAGTATTTTCATTGTGCAGCATCTTTTAGTTACCTTTCACCATTTCTTTCTTTTTATATATATATATATAAATATTTTTATTAATTTTCTAGTTTTACAATCAAGTACTTAATAGACAACGTGTTGTCTGGGTCCGTTAGTAATTCAGTGATATATATATATATTAACTTCTTCAATCTAGATCCGTTATTGCATCATCCTACGTTTCCTCTCTTTTTCCAGTAATACCTATTTCCCCACACTAGGCAAATACAATTCTTATTGTTATTAGTAAATATACAATTGAATATCAACATCTTTGTTACACTTTTCTCATAATATCAGTTTTAGATTACTTTTCTCAAATTGCATTTGCACTTAATGGCCAACTTTTAATTTCCCATCAGTGTTCAAAGTGTCTCTTATTGTTTATCACTTCAAAGTAAGTTATATTTGGGTAACCAAAAGCTTCCCTTATTCAAACTTCTTAGCGTTTTCCTGTTTCCCTCCCATTTCTTTCTGAGCTGTATCTGTTTGGGGGGCCGCGTGAAAAAAACAAACAAAGGCAGGGTCCTTTGGCCTTAGGAATTTAGAGCTGTCTTGCAATGTTGGCCGCGGTTACTTAATTTCAACTCCCAGAATCCCCCAGGATCCCTGAGAATTCTGGGAGCTGAAATCCACACATCTGGAGGGCAGCCCAAACTGGGGTGTGCGGTAATGCAGTTTTTCTCTCACCTTGGGCAACTTTACGATGGGTGGACGTCCAACTCCCAGAATTCCCGGCCGCTGGGGAATTGTGGGAGTTGAAAGCCCGTCCATCTTAAAACTGTAACGCAGGTGATCCTCTACTTACGACCATGACTGAGTCCACAATTTCTGTTGCTCAGCAAGGCAGTCGGTTAAGTGAGTTTCGCCCCCTTTTTACAATCCTTCCTGGCAGAGCTTTCTTAAGTAAACGATTGCGGTTGTTAAGTTAGTCACACCGTTGTTAAGTGAACCTGGCTTCCCCATTGCACTTTGCTTGTCAAAAGGTCACAAAAGGGAATCAATCACGGGATTCCTCCAGGACACCGGAACCGTCGTAAGTACAAGCCAGTTGTCAAACGTCTGAATTTTGATCACGTGACCGTGGGGAACCACGTGACTCAACCGTCCTAAGTACCTGTCAGTTGCCAAGCTTGATCCAAAGTTTGATCACGTGACCTATTTATTGATTTCTGAGGAAATATAAAAATTAATTATTATTGACTGTTAATCGACTATTATTGATTGTATGTTCTTTCCCAAAAAATTTATGAACCAAGGCAACACGCTGTTTTTGATGCCGTAATTTTGAATGATCACTAAATGTAGGGCTGTGACAGTACCTGTAGGCCCACTTTTGGGATCTAAAGATCTGTTTGGTTGATCCCCATGACACCAAAGAACGGTAAAACGAGAGACTCACTTCTTGGCCAGCTGCACGGCGTCGGACACGGCACTCCCGTTGACCAGAAGCGAAACGTTCGAGACCGCACCGGCCAGGAAACACTCCGCAATGCCTTGGTTCCTCCTTCGGCAATAGCCAAAGTCGTCTCCGGTTACGATGAGCTTCACCCTGGCTTTGGGCATCCTTAGGAGTCAACCCTGGGAGCAAAATTTAGCCAGAAGTCCTCCCGTTAGCCCGTTCTCTCTTCCTCTCCCCAAAGCGAAGACGGGAGCAAAGAAGGAACGGATGAACCGCAGGGCCCATCACCCACAGCCGGGGCTAACCGTCCCCGCGTCCCAAGGAAGCATAAATATAAGGACACGTCTTTTTCTCGCAGCTGTTAATCGCGCCGTCAGGAGGAAATGTGGGAAGTACCGCCGTAGGCAACGTAACTAAGAGGATTAGCCAAACTCGCCTTTCTGGACGAGGCAGAAAAGCAGAGTTTGAGTTGGTTGTTTTTTTTTTAATCCTTGACATGGGGAACTCTTCGTCGGAACAATTTGTGGAGCAGAGAAAGGACACCAAAGAAACATGCCTTAAAACTCAGCCCAGCCCGTTTCAACCAAGGCAAGGTAATTTGGAACAGAGGTGGGGAATTGTAGAGTTTGGGCACCAAAATTTTTAACTCCTGAACCCCAAGAGGTGGGGGGGGGGGAACAGATGGGAGAAGAATAAAATGTCCAGTCCTAAAAAAAAATACATAAAATAAAACCCAGAAGCTTCAGGAAGTGAGGGCTAACTCCTTAGCAGAGGCCGTTAAGAAAATGGGAGAGGAAATGCTGAATTGGTGACTTTTAAACCCACACGATTTTCGCACGAATTTTGCCCTCTTTCAGCTTAGCCTACCTCAAAGGGCTGTTGTAAAAGATCAAGCGAGGAAGCAGCGGTGAAAAAGCTCCACCTTAGGCGTGAAAGCAGCTGAGTGACTTTGGGCCAACCACCAGGAGACGGTGAGTTGTTTATAAAAGTAGTAAGGGCAGGAAATAAAATTAAATAAATACCATCAAATAAATAAATACCTGATTTAAATGCACTCCGTGTACTGACGGATTTGGGCAGAAAAGAAACAGAATAAGGTCAGGTTTAGAGCCAATATTAAAAATTCTCACTCATCCCATGTTTCCAATCTAACTACAGCTTCTTAAACAAGGCTAAGACTTCTGCTCTTTTTGACGCCAGGATTCGCACTCAGCTCAATCTGGGTTTGAAAACAGGCAGTGTCCAGAAACCCCCAGAAACTTTCAAACACCCCTGCATGCAGAAATCCAACAGATCAGGTGGAAAGAGCCTATTCTAACCCAGACTAACCAACCCAGTTAGTTAGCCACAGGTGGCTTCATCCGAGGCCGTGAATTCAAGAGCTAATATTTGAATAAAAAAGGTGAATTTTCTGAATTTTTGGCCTCACGCTTCTCCTTTCCTACAATGTGTGCATGGATGAAGGAAAGCCATACTCACAATTTTTTCTCAAGTTTAGTTTTTTGGCCGCGGGGAAAGCCAGAATTCTGATTTGAGAAAGATGCAATTGACCGACCAATTCTCTAGGAAAAATTGACCAGGTCCTCTTTGCCTTCCAGAGCTGAGATCAGCCTGTCTACAAATACTGGTTTTTGTTTGTTTGTTTTTTTAAGCTATCCGGATACTATCAGGAAGTAACCAACTGAAAATCCAGAAATGGTGCAACATTGGAAACGGTGGCAGGAACTCCTGTTCTCCAGCGTCGGTTGCAAGCCAACAGAAGATTATAGGTTTAATTTTCAAACTTATCTATCTTCTTTAATTCTATCTTATCTTTAATCTCCATCCCACCCCCCAAATAGTGAAAAGCAAGGCTAGGAAACAATTCAGACATGTTCTAGCAAGTTGGTTTTTCTAGCTGGGTTTTCATAAAGGAAAGCCAGAAAGAGATCAACGGAGCATTTAAAAACAACCCTTACAAAATCAACTGCAATAGACAGTGACATTGATCGCTGAAGGAGGATATAAATTTATGCCTTGACGAAAAGAATCCTTTTCCCCGCCGCCTCCTTGCTCCTTAAAATGGAAATATTTTCACTGCCACACCTTAAAAAGTGTTCGTTAAGGTCACTGAATATAAAGTTTCTAGTAAATATTCTGAACGGATTTCAACAGAAAATAAGCGCCACGCTAAGGGGGCTTTCTACCTTATTTTTTTTCTCTTTTTCAAATGCTTCTAAAATAATTATTTAAAAGTCGCCGGCCTAGAAGCCAGGAGACTGGGAATTGTAGTCCCACCCGAGAAATGAAATTAGGTACGTTCACCATCTGGATTTCCCTATAAAAGTAATAAAAAAAGGTGGGAGAAAAAAAAAACAAGTAAATGAAATAAATAAATAAAATGGGTTCAGCTGAAGGCAGTGGTCTTTCCGGAAAATAAATAAATCTACACCTTTTAGATTCTTCTTCCTCGCTTGTCTGCTTTTCAAGCTGAGGATTGTTGACCATAACCGTGGATCATTTTACGATCCACAAAATCTCTGGCATGAGATGATTATGTTATTAAATCATCATCATCGTTTTGGAACTACCTTGAGACCCGGTTATATCACCAGGCTTGGGAATTCTAGAATATCAGAGAAATTCTCCATTAAGGCTGATCTTTTTAATCTCTCCCTGCAGTTTCTATATTTTAAATTTGTTCTTCGTTCGTCATTTGACTTTTTCCGTGTTTTTCTATTGTTGGTTTTTGCATTGTTACATATTGATTGATCGTTGTACTCTGCCGAAGACGGGCGGCCATATAAATGTGATCCATAGATAAATCATAAGTGAACAATTTAGCTTTTCATGTCCTGTAAGAGAACGGTCAAATTCACACAGCACACGAAAAAGATTCATACAGGTTTGGCTTAGGGTGATGTGTGAATTCAGACCTTGCGATTAGAAACCGTAACATAGGTTAGTTAATATTTGGGATTGTTAATTTGTTCGGGCTTAAACCAAGATCAGAGGGTGCTTCTCCAGGAACACAAACCACGATTTGAAATGCAATTCTCGTTAAATTAAATCCTAAGGAATCTTGCAATTGCCATTTCCTTCTCAGGGCCTTAGGTGTTCGTTACGTTAGTTCTAATTATGGTTAGTCATTCTAAAGAGGAGTTTAAGCATCAGAAGGGGTTAGGATATCAAGGTCTATATAACAAAATAATCAACCCTGGGAAATTGATTCTTCCGTTCCCTGATTTTCTGAAGTCAAGCTTTTCTTGGCAGTCGTATCCAGGCTAAATTTCTTTTGCTACTACAGGTAGTCCTCGACTTAACAACAGTTCATTTAGTGACCGCTCCAAGTTACAACGGCACGGACAAAAGTTGACTCCCGACCGTTTTTCACACTTACGACCGCTGCAGCATCCTCACGGTCACGTGATCAAAATTCACACGCTGGGCTTCATATTTATGACGGTCGCAGCGTCCCCGGGGATCAGGGGATCCCCTTTAGCGACCTTCTGACAAGCAAAGTCAATGGGGAGAAGCCAAACTCACTTAACAACTGTGTTACGAACTTAAGACCGGCTGTGATCCACTTTTACAACTGCGGCAAGGAAGGTCGTAAAAATGGGGCAAAAGTTACTTACCTGTCTCACTTAGCAACATAAATTTTGGGCTCAATTCTGATCGTAAGTCGAGGACTACCTGTATCTCGTCTACTGTCCAGACCTGAGGTTTCCTTGTGGTGCCCCATCCATGCCCCGACTCGGTTTAATTTGGGAGGGGAGAAGCCTGGCACCTGGGGAATCAGGCCCACCTTTCCCAGTGGATCCTCTGCTCCCCTCTGCCCATCCTCCCCTCCTGCATCTCCCCTAGGGTCAAAGCCTTGGATGGGACCTTCGAGGTCATCCAGCCCAGCCCAGCTCCAGACTCTTCCTCATCCCGCCTTACCCCGAGTCTCCCGATCCGAATTCCGCGGCAACTTCCCGGGCGAGCTCCCAAACCGCTCCGAACCCCACCTGCCACCGGGAATGCCACCCCTTCCGGGCCGGCCTCCAAGGCGAAGCCGGAGAAAGCAGCGTGGCATCCAGATGTTCGACACATCCGCTTTGGCACGGAAGAAGGCGGACGTCTGAACCGGCGGCGGGGGAGGCAGGGCGGGCAGCTCTAGGGGGTGCAGAGAGACTCGATCGGGGTCTGCAACCCCGCCTTTCTCCCCCCCCCCTCCGCGCGGACGGTGCAATGCCACCAGGGAGCACGGCTTCCTCGGTGGGGGGGGCAACCCGGGGGCATCTATCCGGTCCTGGCTAGCCGCTGAAACCAGGATCGGATCGCAGCTTGCTTGNGGAGAGGGAGGGATGAATGGAGGGATGAATGAGGGAGGGAGGGAGGGATAGATGGATGGATGGAGTGACTGACGGACGGACAGACTGACTGGTTGGTCAACAACATAAACATCTATGGAGATTCTCAGTCATCCGGATCACTGTTATCCCAAAGAGGCTTTTTCCACAAGGCAACTGGACTTCCTTATTTTTTCTTTGAAGACGTTTCGCTTCTCATCCCAGAAGCTTCTTAAGCTCTGACTGGATGGTGAAGCTGACTCTGACTGGATGGAGCTGAAGAAGCTTCTTGGAATGAGAAGCGAAACGTCTTCAAAGGAAAAACAAGGAAGTCCAGTTGCCTGGTGGAAAAAAGCCTCTTTCGGACCTCAACAACATATTTTATGCAAATGGGTGGAATCGCCAACGCTTCAACAGAACTGCTGATGTAACAAAGGAGAGGAAGATTCTTTTCTTCTTCTCCTTCTACTTTCTTCTTTCAAGCCGTAAGTAACTCTTTGTCTCATCTCTGAAGCTTGAAGTCTGAATTGATTTCTTGCCTTGGCGAAACTTTTGACTAGTCTTCAACAAGACGAAGAGCTGAGTAAGTTCTCCAGAAATGTCTTAACTTTCATTAAGGCCATTGGTTACATGGTGCTTTTCGTTCATTTCAAAAGGGGGTTGATTGATTGATTGATTGATTGATTGGTTGATTTAGCATGTGGCATATCATACATGGACTAGCAATATAAATCAGCATTTCAACTAGATTAGTAGAACCCAGTAAAATATAAATGTTAAAAAGATCTGTGTTCAAATACCAGCTAACCACCGAAGCGCAGCAACTTTTATATTAAAGAAATCAGATGTTGGACCGGTAGATGCCCTCAGCTTACAGCTGCTCACGGTGTGATCTACAGTTTGGGACGGTAGGATTCACAATCACAATGAGGGGAGGATACTATGCCCCATTTATACAGAGAGTCTCAGCAGATGCCGTGTGAGATGCAAGCCCTATTCAGGATTGATGTAGTTCCAAGCCTGCAGCTTTTTTTTTTTTTTGGTGGGGTCATTTATATGTCTTCCTATAACTGGGCGTTCGGCAACCCATTTGGCTTTCTTCAAAAAGGGATGTTAGTCAAACCCTAAACTAGCTTTATGCTTAATGGATTGTCTGCCTACCATTTCCAAATATGACCTGATTTGTTGACATGAAAAATACCGGAAGCCACTTTCATTGGGGGTTTAAGTGTTCATACGAAGCCAGTGGTGGGGCTTTATTAGACCATGGTTTCTGAGTTAGCGTGGTTGTGTGAACACAGCCAGTTGTGGTTTCGTCAACCAAACAGTTGTGGTTTATTCAGTTAAACATACTTCATCTGTTGACGTTTGGCACAGTGTGAACTTTTCATTTTTTGTTCATTTTCTGCTTCAGTACTTCAGTATTTTGCTGGCATTCTTTTCACGGTCTTTTGTTATGGAGATACTTGGATGGAAGGAGGGATGAAAGAAGGAAGGAAGGAGATGGAAAGGAAGAAAGGAAAGAAATGGAGGAAGGAAGGAAGGAAGGAAGGAAGGAAGGAAGGAAGGAAGGAAGGAAGGAAGGAAGGAAGGAAGGAAGGAAGGAAAAAATGAGAGGAGAAATTTTTCTGTTTCTCGTTAGATTTTATTCCTTCAGCAGCTCCCAATTCTTTGGAAGACAAGACCTTCCGAGAATGGTGGAACTGATATTTCTCAGGATATTTTTCCCAACTTTTGAAATTCTTATTTGTAAAAAAAAAAATAACACTATCAATTAACCGACCAATCGATCTGTTTATTGTTTTGACCGCCAATTTTAGCAAATCAGATAATTCTGCCTAAAAGAATCCAAATATACACTCAAATGTGCAAAACTCAGAACAGGGAAACGTTGTGATTATAGCGGCTTAAAAGTTTAGGCGCTTTTGATAAAACCACCTCTCTGTTGTTGTTTTTATTGCAAAGCTTGCTCACTCAGGTGGGTCTCCTTGTCTCACTTTGTGAAATAATTCAATTTTATGTCGAATCAGGCCAAAATGACTTTCCTATTAAGAGGCCCCAGGAATATTCCCATGCTGAAATAGGGCTACACTAAAAACGATTTTTTTCCATACGCGGGCAAAACAGGAAGAAGGTGTGGAGAACTTTAAGGAGCTGTTCTTTCAGCACTATGGAAGGTCACAAATATTCTGGCTATCTAGCTGATGACGAGAGCTTCAGAAGACCTCAGGTGAGGACCAAGGAAGGACCAAGGGATTCCCTTCACATCCCTTTCTAGAAACAGGACTCCCCAAACTGGGAGCCTACGGGAGAAGATGCCACTTACAAAAGTCTCCAGCATCAACACAGAAAAATCACCCATTAGCTTCTCGGGAAAGCCAAATTCTCCACCAAAATCAGTTTCCTGACTGTAAACCAAAAAAAAGGTAGATCTAGATTCAGGAATTTAAGTATTTGCCAGGAGCCTACTAAACTTCTGCAGATGTTTGCTGCAAACTCAACCCACCCAGTAAGAGTTTGGTCCCCAGTGGCAATCCTGCCTTCTCATTTCTTCCCAATTTGGCAGTGTGGACTTTGACTCCTAGAATTCCCCAGCCAGCGTGTTTCCCAGGGAATTCTGGGAGTTGAAGTCTACACATCTTCAATGTGCCAAGGTTGAATAGCCCAGATTTACTGTAATAATCTACCAATCCATCACAGCCTTTGGTTCCAGGTTTGTGTGCTTTTTAAAAAAAAAACAAAAACCAGATTGGACATGTGGGCACCTCAACTTATGATCCTCATAAAAGTGAGTCAACTGAGGTTAGCAAAAATGTGTAAAAACATATCTAGCAACTGTTGGAAATGTAGACAAAAACCAGGCACTTACTACCATCTTTGGTGGACATTTATTTATTTATTTATTTATTGAATTTATATACCGCCCTATCTCCCTTACGGGACTCAGGGCGGTGAACAGGCGATAATAAAAACCACAATAAATATACACAAATTTCTGTCTAAAAAACCAAAGGATTTCTACCCTAAAACCAAAGGATATTGGTCAAGAACAAACATATAGTTAGAGAAAATTACTAAAAAACATACAGATTTTAAGCCAGAATTATTTTTGTTAGGCATAATTGTAGGAAACTAGGAGAAAGAGTGTATATCTCTAATATTACATGTATTAACTGCAGCGAGAATCGTATTCGCTCAACGTTGGAAAAAGGAAGATTTACCAACGGAGTTAAGAGTTAATTAAAAAAAAATTAGATTGTGCAGAAATGGATAGATTGACATTGAAAATGAAAGAGGAAGAAGATTCAGTATACTTTAGAACATGGGATGATACTTTTTATCAATGGCTAGAAAAACGAGGTAGAGAGAAAGGAATTTAACATGCATTAGTAAGATAAATGGGAGTCAATTGCCAACTGTTTATATTTTGATCACGTGGCATTGGGGAGGCTGCAACGGTCGTAAGTGTGAAAAACGGTCATAAGTCCTTTTTTTCCGTGCCGTTGTAACTTGGAACGGTCACTAAACGAATAGCGGTAAGTTGAGACCTTCCTGTACTTGTGTTTGTTTACGGCCTGCTTTCCTGCCTGCCTTGTAGGACAGCAACGCCCACACCAGTCCTAGAAGAGGTCCCTGTGACTGGAGGACCATGCTTCGGCCTCCATCTCGCTGTCAGTACCGAAGCCAAGAGCCGGCCACCTCCACCAGGCCCCTCCACGGCTTCTCCCAGGGAGACCAAGGGAAGCGAAAACGCCACCAAAGCTGCAGCAGCAGCAGCAGCAACAACAACGAGAGAACCAGTGACCTGGCCAACGAGTTTTCCGAGTTTGTGGACTTCTTAGCTGACGAGGACGTCCTGGAGAGCCTCCAGCAGATCGTGGAAGACGCCGTCAAGAAGCTTCGCGACGTGACGTCCCAAAGCGGGGAGCCCATCTTTGACCTCCAGGAGGAATGCGCCTCGAGCGTGGAGAGCGAGACGTGGTCTTATTCCTACACTTCGACGCGTTCCCAGATCCAGTACCAAACCACCACCACCACCGCCACCACCGTGTCCAGCTCGGACGATGACCAGGACAAGCACTTCCTGAGCCCAGAACCATCAAAGGCGGGGCGCAAAATTTGCCTCTTGGATAAATATGTCTCCAGGCTCCCCAAAGTTGGAAAGCAAGCTGCTCAGGAACTGTCGAGAAGAATCCATGCGGAGGTATTTCTGAGGCGAGGCCATTTTGTAAGGAGAGTCCCTGGGCCCAGAGTTCTGAGGTTCCGATTTGCCTGAGGGAATTTCCAGTGCCAGAAAAAGGAAATTGTTTTGCCTCAAATTTTCAATCCCTGGTACTAAAAAAAGACTCAGGGCACAGAGCAGGGGCATCCAAACTTGGCTGTTTTAAGAGTTGTGGACTTCAACTCCCAGAGTTCCATAGCCAGCCATGCCTTGCTGGCTGGGGAATTCTGGGAATTGGAGTCCACAAGTCTTAAAGGAATATTCTATTCTATTCTATTTTCTATTCTATTCAATATTCTATTCTATTCAATATTCTATTCTATTCTATTCTATTCTATTCAATATTCTATTCTATTCAATATTCTATTCTATTCTTCATCCTTCTTATTCTATTCTGTTCTATTCAATA